GAATTTACGTTGGTAACTCAGCTGTGATAAACACCGTGGTAAAATGTGTGTCGCCAAATTGCATTGACACGGCAGCAATAGCCGAGAAAAATAGCCGTGAATTCAACACCACGTATTGTGCCTAGAGACAATCTGATAAAGATCAGTCTTTGTTTGGTAAAGTTCTTTTTCGATTTTATCTCAGTCTCAGTCATTGACATGTCTTTCGCTTCTATAAAAACTTCTGTAAACGTTTTACAGTCGGCCCTGGATCAATTCCTTTATCTTAATATAAATATTCTCTACATGTTGTGGGTGCGTTAATTGTGTAGTGTTTCATAATAATTTTGTTTTAATAAAATAGAAATAATTTAGTATAATGCCCTTTCAGAAGAAAATGCAGTAATATTATCATATGAGTAAAATTATCAACTCAGTAACATTACCATCCCAGTAGATATTATCATCTCAGTGACAATATCATCTCAGTAACATTATCATCTCATTAACATTATCATCCCAGTAGCAGCATCATCTCAGTGACATTATCATCTCAGTGACATTATCATCCCAGTAACATTATCATATCAGTAACATTATCATATCAGTTACATTATAATATCAGTAACATGATCATCATCCTAGTAACATTATCAACTCAGTTACATTATAATCCCAGCAGAATTATCATCTCAGTAACATTATCATCTCAGTAACATTATCATCTTAGTAACATTATCATCGCAGTGATATTATCATCGCAGTGACATTATCATCGCAGTGATATTATCATCTCAGTAACATTATCATCTCATTAACATTATCATCTCAGTAACATTATCATGTCAGTTACATTATAATATCAGTAACATGATCATCATCCTAGTAACATTATCAACTTAGTTACATTATATTCCCAGTAGCATTATCATCTTAGTAACATTATCATCACAGTGATATTATCATCTCAGTAACATTATCATCGCAGTAATATTATCATCTCAGTAACATTATCATCTCAGTAACATTATCAACTCAGTTACATTATCATCTTAGTAACATTATCATCGCAGTGATATTATCATCACAGTGACATTATCATCACAGTGACATTATCATCGCAGTGATATTATTACCTCGGTTACATTATAATCCCAGTAGCATTATCATCTTAGTAACATTACCATCACAGTGACATTATCATCACAGTTACATTATCATCGCAGTGACATTATCATCGCAGTGACATTATAATATTAGTAACATTATCATCTCAGTTACATTATAATATTAGTAACATTATCATCTCATTAACATTATCATCGCAGTAACATTATCATCGCAGTAATATTATCATCGCAGTGACATTATCATCTCAGTTACATTATCATCTCCGTGACATTATAATATCAGTTTCATTATAATATCAGTAACATTATCATCTCATTAACATTGTAATCTCCGTGACATTATAATATCAGTTTCATTATAATATCAGTAACATGATCATCATCCTAGTTACATTATCATCTCAGTAATATTATCATCTTAGTAACATTATCATCCCAGTAATATTATCATCCCAGTAACATTATCATCTCATCAACATTATCATCTTAGTAACAATATCATCTCAGTAACATTATCACCTCATCAACATTATCATCTCAGTAACATTATCATCGCAGTGACATTATCATCTCAGTTACATTATCATCTCAGTTACATTATAATCCCAGTAGCATTATCATCTTAGTAACATTATCATCTCAGTAACATTATCATCTCATTAACATTATCATCTTAGTAATATTATCATCTTAGTAACATTATCAACTCAGTTACATTATATTCCCAGTAGAATTATCATCTCAGTAACATTATCATCTCAGTAACATTATCATCCTAGTAACATTATCATCTCATTAACATTATCATCTCAGTAACATTATCATATCAGTTACATTATAACATCAGTAACATTATCATCATCCTAGTAACATTATCAACTCAGTTACATTATCATCTTAGTAAAATTATCATCTTAGTAACATTATCATCACAGTGACATTATCATCTCAGTAACATTATCATGTCAGTTACATTATAACATCAGTAACATGATCATCATCCTAGTAACATTATCAACTCAGTTACATTATCATCTCAATAAAATTATCATCTTAGTAACATTATCATCACAGTGACATTATCATGGCAGTGACATTATCATCGCAGTGACATTATCATCTCAGTTACATTATCATCTCAGTAACATTATAATCCCAGTAGCATTATCATCTTAGTAACATTATCATCTTAGTAACATTATCATCTCCGTGACATTATAATATCAGTTTCATTATAATATCAGTAACATGATCATCATCCTAGTAACATTATCATCTCAGTAATATTATCATCTCAGTAACATTATCATCCCAGTAATATCATCATCCCAGTAACATTATCATCGCAGTAACATTATCATCTCAGTTACATTATAATCCCAGTAACATTATCATCTTAGTAACATTATCACCTCATCAACATTATCATCTTAGTAACAATATCATCTCAGTAACATTATCATCTTAGTAACATTATCATCTCAGTAACATCATCATCGCTGTGACATTATCATCTCAGTTGCATTATCATCTCAGTTACATTATAATCCCAGTAGCATTATCATCTTAGTAACATTATCATCTCAGTAACATTATCATTGCAGTGACATTATCATCTTAGTAACATTATCATCTCAGTAACATTATCATCTCAGTAATATTATCATCTCAGTAACATTATCATCTCAGTTACATTATCATCGCAGTAACATTACCATCTCAGTGATTTTATCTTTATTTCTACCATGTAGTGTACATCAGATCAGATTGTATAAACCTATTGCTAATCACAAATATACTTTTAATTGAGCACTTTTTATCATAGCAATCATTAATTAACACTCTTCACTTTCTATATAGAAAGTTGTTTGTTTCTGTCCCCTCTCCTTTATTTTCACTTAAGACTTGGATCTGGGAGAACAAACACCATATTGTAACTTTTATACAATTAGGATTGTGTATGTTCTTCTGTGTCTCTGGACTGTATGATAATCTTACAATACTTATTCTTTCAGGTATGTGTATTTTATATTGTCTTGGTTTAGAAATGGTGGGGGTGGGGCAGTGTAGGTGTCTATAGGAGTATGGTTGCATATTTATATAAGTTCACATTATTATTTTACTCTTTATCTTTAACTATTTATTACATAACATATTATATTAGCTTAAAGTTTCAAGGTTAAGCTAAAGTATCATTACAATGTAGACAATGTTTCATCTGTAATATTTATCTTTATCTCAGCTGTTAAAGTTCTATTGTTTCATCTGTAATAATTATCTTTATCTCAGCTGTTAAAGTTCTATTGTTTCATCTGTAATAATTATCTTTATCTCAGCTGTTAAAGTTCTAGTGTTTCATTTGTAATATTTATCTTTATCTCAGCTGTTAATGTTCTATTGTTTCATCTGTAATAATTATCTTTATCTCAGCTGTTAATGTTCTATTGTTTCATTTGTAATATTTATCTTTATCTCAGCTGTTAATGTTCTATTGTTTCATCTGTAATAATTATCTTTATCTCAGCTGTTAAAGTTCTATTGTTTCATCTGTAATAATAATCTTTATTTCAGCTGTTAAAGTTCTATTGTTTCATCTGTAATATTTATCTTTATCTCAGCTGTTAAAGTTCTATTGTTTCATCTGTAATAATTATCTTTATCTCAGCTGTTAAAGTTCTATTGTTTCATCTGTAATAATAATCTTTATTTCAGCTGTTAAAGTTCTATTGTTTCATCTGTAATATTTATCTTTATCTCAGCTGTTAAAGTTCTATTGTTTCATCTGTAATAATTATCTTTATCTCAGCTGTTAAAGTTCTATTGTTTCAGTTGTTAATGTTCTATTGTTTAAGTTAATATAAGTTAGTTTCTCTTAAACCCCGTTACAGGGTAGGTTATTATTCAGTATTTATTTATATTTAACAACAGGCATAACTCATACGTGTACCACATAAATGGAATAATGTAGTTACCTCCCTTTACGACAGCTCCCTACTATATTAATCTGTGATATATGAATACATATTTTAAAGGTTGTATTATATTGTTAATTTAGTAAATTGATATTTCAGGGTTTTAAATACATGTTTAATAAAACAGAAAACTGAATTGTGTTTTTGCATACCGCAATACCCCGAGATATTACATTTTCATCTCAGTAACAATACCTTCTTAATTAAATACAAAACGTTTTGGAAGTCTGTGATTTACTGGAACAATTCTACGAGATAAATTACTAATTTGAACCTGGATAAAATAATTATCACCATTGGTATTTAATGTAGATAAATTCTGTAATTAGTTGATTAACAGCCTGAACTTTACCACCGGTTTCTGGTTTATAGGTGATATCAAAGTAGTCATCCCAGTTAGATTTAGTTAGGTTGTTAGTATTCTTAACAATGTTTAAAATACGAAGGTGTTCTATGGAACACGATTCAAATAGTCTAATTTCTGCAAATTGAGAAAATAAATTTGAGCAGTGTGTGAAAGTCGCTCTCTCAAATAGAACACATGCCAGATATCGTTTGTATTAATATCGTTAGAATATAGACATGTTTGTAGTGAGTGATGTATACCATTTAATACACTATAACATGTCATTTGAGAACTTTTGTATGTGGTACCTCACCTTTAATATGGAGTGAGTGACCCCAGTCGAACTGTAACCCGAGGGAAGGCGATTAAAGAAAGTATCAACAAGTGTCACTAAGTATCATTAATACGTTATTGTTCCCTTGATAGAGTTTCTCTATTTTAATTTGACTAGTAATTGTTTAGTTATGTCTCTAATTACCTCCCCTGTAATGACACCGATTTGAAAAATAATATAAATCAATTAATACTCTAATATCAAGAAATTGTTCAGACTTCATGATTTCAATATTCCTTTCAGAGAGTCCACATAGCTACTAATGTATAATAACAATACACCTGATACAATACACCTGATACAATCCACATGATAGAGTACACCTGATACAATCTACCGGATAGAGTACACCTGATACAATACACCTGACAGAGTACACCTGATACAATCTACCGGATAGAGTATACCTGATACAATACACCTGCTAGAGTACACCTGATACAATATACCTGATAGAGTACACCTGATAGAGTACACCTGATAGAGTACACCTGATAGAGTACACCTGATACAATACACCTGATACAATACACCTGATAGAGTATACCTGATAGAGTACACCTGATAGAGTTCACCTGATAGAGTACACCTGATACAATATACCTGATAGAGTATACCTGATAGAGTACACCTGATAGAGTACACCTGATACAATACAACTGATACAATACACCTGATACAATATACCTGATACAATACACCTGATACAATACACCTGATACAATACACCTGATACAATACACCTGATAGAGTATACCTGATAGAGTACACCTGATAGAGTACACCTGATACAATACACCTGATACAATACACCTGATAGAGTACACCTGATAGATATGTAGTGAAAATTTCAGTACTAACCATCTGAAAGGCTGGGAAGAAAATTTAACCTGAAGAAATATTCTGAAAACTACCTAGTTTGTAAAACTAGATGTAGTATCAAGTGATTCTTTCAAACTTAGATTGGAATCAATTTCTAGCAACCATGGAGAGGCAAACACTGATTGAAACATGAAAGACAATGATAATGAGGGGGCGATAACTCAGTCCCCGCAAACAATTTTGGGACCCTTCACATCTCAACAAATGCGTTACACAATCTAAAGAAAATCCCGAATTATCTGCTCGTGTAGAAAAAAATGATTGATAATTAGTATATGCGTTCTTTAGTTTAAATAAAGTTTTTATATAAGTGGTATTATTAGTTCTGTTTAAAAAACCGTAAAGAGTCCGAGCTGTAAAAACAAATCAAACTGTAATCTTCTCATTAACTATAATCTAATAAATACATTTCCTCCTCGAAATAAAATATCTTAACAGGTTTCGTGTAATTTCTATGTTATCTTTCACAAGGGTACAGTCATTTTTATATCCAGTAGATGATGTTAGAAAATCAAATTAACTTCCCGCCTTGAAATCTTTATTTCTAGGAAAAATACCGCATTGTGAATCTGAAACATGCTATTGATAAAATCTTGATTTTTCTGATATAGACTGAATAACAACATGGTAAAAACATCAGGATCCGATTAGATCTTTGTAAGGTTTCATGATAAAGCACGGTTTCGTGCCATGGTTCTTTTTTGTTCTCTCACTAAATCTTTAACAACAGAAATTGGAATTTGGAATGTTATAATTAAAAGCCACTCTGCTTCGTTGCTTTGAGAATTACACAATTCCTTTCGTAAGATTACAATATACATGTATAACAATCGGTCAACGATTACCTGGTCTTAAAAGACAATAGTACAATGGTATATAATAGTCAATAGTCCAACAGTGAACCACATTCTAGAGTATAACACAGAGATAGGTGATGTTTGGTGTTTCTATTAACAGACAATAGTACAAGAGTAGACCACAATCTAGAATATAACACAGAGGTAGGTGGTGTTTGGTGTTTCTATAAACAGACAATAGTACAACAGTAGACCACTCTCTAGAATATAACACAGAGGTAGGTGATGTCTGGTGGTTCTATAAACAGACAATAGTACAACAGTGGACCACTCTCTAGAATATAGCCCAGAGTTAGGTGATGTCTAGTGTTTCTATAAACAGACAATAGTACAACAGTAGATCACTCTCTAGAATATAACTCAGAGGTAGGTGATGTTTGGTGTTTCTATAAACAGACAATAGTACAACAGTAGACCAATCTCTAGAATATAACACAGAGGTAGGTGATGTCTGGTGTTTCTATAAACATACAATAGTACAATAGTAGACCATACTCTAGAATATAACACAGAGGTAGGTGATGTCTGGTGTTTCTATAAACAGACAATAGTACAATAGTAGACCACACTCTAGAATATAACACAAAGGTAGGTGATGTCTGGTGTTTCTATAAACAGACAATAGTACAATAGTAGACCACACTCTAGAATATAACACAGAGGTAGGTGATGTCTGGTGTTTCTATAAACAGATAATAGTACAATAGTAGACCACACTCTAGAATATAACACAGAGGTAGGTGATGTCTGGTGTTTCTATAAACAGACAATAGTCCAACAATTGGTCATCCTCAAGAATATAAGGAGAAATTAAGGAATGTAAGGAGATATCTGGTGTTTCAGACAACAATGGATCTATGTGTATGATTTCAGACTACCGGGTATTGTCAGGGGATGTTCTGTATTTTAAAACAGGAATAAAAAAATAAAGTGAATTAAATTGTTGTGTAAAAAAATTAGCGGCGAATTTAATTCAGGAACCTGACATTTTTTTTATCTGATTTTCATCAAAGATTCTATTTAATAGAAATAATCTCAGAGTCAACTGGGAATGATAATCATAATAATTATACTAATGTATAAAATGATAAAAACTGGCATCGTTTCCAGAAGAAGGAAATGTTCACTTTATCTGTTCAATGTTTTTATTATTTAGGACTGAGATTTTCTCCAAATTACAAAAATTTCTCTAAAAAAAATGACATTGGTTGAGCATTAAATACAAACACACATTTGGAAGAAAATTTCAGATCTAAACTTGTTCACCAAGTTTTATTAGAAGCGATGTTTCTAGACTGGAAGGCTGATAGATAAATTTTTCACCTTGATTCTATCAAATGCTTGACCTAATGGATTGAAGCATGCACCGTGTTGATTGGAAATGAACTTATTTTTAAGTGTAATGTAAGATCAATTCCTAATTTGGTATATCTTAGTTGAATTTTCCGGAAGGGAAGTAAGTTTTTATACGCTGTAAGTTAAAAATGTTATCAACTCGAAGCTATTCCACCACAATCTGTACTGTTTTCAAACTTCAAATATTCACCACAAAAATAGTCTTCAAATTTCGACACTGAATTTGATAGAGTAGATTTTCTTTATGAAAATGACTCATTATTCCATTAACATATTGAATAATAAATATTTTAAACTTTATTCAGCTTTCAACATTCACTCCGTACAACACATACTATACGTTAAAACGAAAAATTTTATATAAGTAAGAGGCTCCGTACTATTGTGCTAATGATAAACACGGAAGGAATCAGCCTAAATCAAAAATTTATTTTCGTACCACGGATGATATTTCCGCTTCCGGTTTAGTAATGTAATATAACAGCATGAATTACTGTGATACAGTTTCTACTTCCGATTTATCTTAAAAGGTAATTGAGAAAAGTCGATTTACTTGTATCCATCATTAATACAACGTTTACATCTCCGTCATATTATATCTACAGAAATTTGAGTTAGCAAAACAATTGCGTTAATTTTCAGAGGTTTATCAAATTCGACTAGCGGAATGTATATGTTAACTTGATGAAATGTCGAATCGTGCATCATATTACGTGAATTTAAACCTACCATGTATACAAGATCTTTATCAACATCATACCTCGTGACTTTTTTTTTAGTATAAATAGTCTTTTTTGGAAGTTGCTAAAAAAAGAGACTCCTTTATGAAGTTTTTGGAGCTAATTGTTGACGAGAATTCTGAAAGGTTGGTTCTATTTAACTGATGGTTTCTATGTTACAGCGAAATATATTCATTATCACGATATATCTGACACTTCAGCCTTCAGTTATACAGTTCGCTATTGGAGACGATAACAACCAAATTAACCACAACAAACTGCTATTTACACCTGTAACTAATATATACTAATGTATACAATTTTACCATGGTGATATTTCAGAGGCATGGAATCTGTCAAAACTCTTTTCAACGAACCGCCATTTGATCTTTAATTTAATTGTGGATTGAGTTTAGAAAACAAATACACGTACTGTAAATGGATTCAAATTTCAAAATCTGTGTATGATGTGATACGAGGGAAAGTAACAGAAACTCTGTCTAATTATTATCTATCCCAAAATTACAATAATATTTAATTACTACAAAAACCACTAAAAACCACAAAAACCACTAAAAACCACAAAAAACTACAAAACCCACTAAAAACCACAAAAACCACTAAAAACCACAAAAAACTACAAAACCCACTAAAAACCACAAAAAACTACAAAAACCACTAAAAACCACAAAAAACTACAAAAACCACTAAAAACCACAAAAAACTATCACCAGTAAAACATTGAAAATATCAATTAACATTTATACACTTATTTTATTGACAACATTCTACTAAAATAATATCATAGACAAAACAAATCACATTCTATCCAAGACTCGAGATTAATCAAGAAAGTAAAACTGATATTAATCAAGTACTTTCAGTGTTCCGTAACGAGTTATATTTAATCAAACTTCTCAATAATGGTAATCAAAACGTATTTATTATATAATTATATATAATGTGAGAAAACTCTGACATCTGCTATATTTCTATATCTCTATATTTCTATATTTCTCTGTTGGTTTAGATCACAGTTTTAACCCGCTGTTAAGTCAATATACTTATATATATATATATATATATATATATATACACGGTATTATATACTAGTAACATGGGTATCAAAAATCCCTCGTCCATCCGTCCACATAATTCAGTCAATCATTGGAAAGCCTCAATAATTAACAGGTTATCCATTGTTTAATTAAATTCCCGCTATTTATTACAACATCTCGTCATTCGCTCTCGTTTCACTTTCTATAAATTCTTCCATCGCGTGTAGTCAACTCTTCTTGCTCTCGTTGTCCTCTTCAGATCAACTGATTGGAATCATGAAGTGGTCGAGATGAGTTGAACAGATATTACTCAAGGAATGAAATTCTTCAAGGTAATCAGCAAAATGAAGAATAAGAAGTTAATTTAGTGAAATTTGTCGATGTTTTTGTGGATTAATCGACTCAATGGCAGAATCTCACGTAATTCAGAGTGCATTCTTTAACAGTGGAATAAATCTGGATGATAAAACTTCTCACTTTCCATGTTTGTAGTCGTTGGAGACGGATGCCTGTGGACATGGCGACAACAGAAGGAGATGTTACGACGATTGGTGTTTCGGACCTTACCACTGGTACAGAGCTGATTACTGAAAGTCCGGCGGAGCTGCTCATGTCGCCTATAAGTTTTACTATATTTGGTACAGTAATGACGATGTATTGTATTACAGCAGTCTTGTTTGATGGCTGCGCCATGTTAGTATTTTTGAAAAATAAAAATCTTCGATCTCCAACCAATCTATTTATCCTGGGTTTAAACGTCTGCGACTTTTTAATGGCAACGATTGCGGCACCACTTTCTGGAATTTCTAGTTTTCACCATCGATGGTTGTTTGGAACTATTGGATGTACTTATGAAGGATTTGCAGTGTATTTCTTGGGTCAAACATCAATGTACCTACTCGCCGCTATTTCATTTGACCGTTATTATGTCATAGCTAAACCCTTACAGGCATCAAAAATCACTCATCGAGTGGCCACCATTGCTGTCTTAGCTTGTTATGCTGGGGGATTTTTCTGGGCGTTTGTCCCGCTAGTTGGCTGGAACGAATATACTCTGGAGGGAGCAAAGATTTCGTGTAGTGTGGTGTGGGAGAGTTCGAATCCTGTGTATACCAGCTATATCTTCACCATTTTTATTACCTGTTTAGTTATTCCATTAGCTGTCATGTTTTTCTCCTATTTCAATGTTTATATGACGGTAAGAAAACTTGTTTTATTTACAATATTATCGAAATAATTTCAAATTTTGTGGGGGTGGGGGGGTGGTTGGATAATAAGGCGCCTTGCAGTCTAGAATAAAATTTGAAATTCAAGTTGTTCTATTATATCATGCCAGAGAAAATCACGAAATAGTGAGGATTTGGGGAAGGCGGATAATCGATCAAGATCCCTGGAAGGGTTAATATAATGAAAAAACTTGAAAATCCCTGCATTATACCACGTTACTAGAAACTAGTTGTCACATTCTAAATTTTAATATATATTCTCTGGTTCCTCATTTAGACAGTTTTATACAGGGTGTTTTAAATTACAGGCTATATGTCAACTCGTCTACTTATCAACTCGTCTACGCGCGAACATTTTGTGACGTGGTGTATATCAGTTTAGCTCAAAGGGTTAATTTGACAAACATCCAAGAGGTCTGTCGTTTGACCACAACTGATTTGGCTATTTCATAAAAAGCTAATAAAATAAACGGAAAGAAATTTTGTTCTAATTTCAATAAGACTGGTATATTTTCTATACAAAAACACTGTCTATTGAAAATTGATTGCAAGAAACCAATAAAATATATCAAAATCATTTACTTTACCACAAAAAATGTAAAAGATAAAATGTAAACAATGTCAAATTTCCTTTACAATAAATTCTAGACGTCCTTGAAACGGATGAGTTGATTTGGAATAAAACTATGTTTAAATAACCTGTAATATAAACTGAAATCAATATCCTTAACGATCTTAATGTTATATCATTTTTATCTTTAAATTGTTTTCAAATTGACATTAATTATTGATGGTGTTTACACTTGATATCTGTTGTTTATACATTGTTTATATCCTCATTTTCATTGGGTACACTGTTTACATTTACTTTGTTTACAATATATATTCTGTTTACATTGTATATGTTTTCTATGTTTAAACTGTTTTTTTTTTATTAAAAAGAAAACTGTTTACGATATTATACCTCAGCCTGTCTGATATTATATAAGATATATTGATTGAGTCTTTCATTTTTTTTTATTGTTTCCAGATAAAATCGATCAATAAAAATCAGGTTTGGGATATGAAGAGTAGAATAGCTCGGCGGAATTTTAGAATCGAAAAAAAAATGTTTAAAACGATTATAGCCATGTGCAGTAAGTATGCCTCTACTACATTTTGTTTTTGGTTCGGTCCATTTTTATTTGGTATGTACATTTATTGTCGTCAATTCCGTTTGTTTCTGCTGGTTTATTCTCGGAATCTAGTTTTTGGATAGTTTAAGGTCGATCCATCATTTTTAAGTATGATTTTGCTGCATCATTTTGAGCTAATGGGTCAAGGTCACGATCATTCCTTAGACAATCAAATCAGTCAGTAGAACAACTCATCTATAACTTATCTACAAGTTGAATATTCACAACCATCAAATCAATGTAAAAATTCGTTATATAACTATCTGATATCTAAGGTATAAAATGTTAATGTTAAACATTGTTCTGGTATTTGAATCCACTAGATACCAGGTAGTCCTGTAAATCACGACACGAATACAATCAATATTTCTAAAAACATTTTCACAGCTCAGGGGAGGTAACATGTTTTAAACTGCTTGTCACAAAGAGCTATGTGAACTACTAGCAGTAATTTATTTTGAGGCGAGAAAACAACTGCAGCCTCCAGCCTCCAGCCTCCAGCCTCCAGCCTCCAGTCTATAGTTTTGCTATAAACTTGTAGTATTACTACTTTCACTTTATATCTTTATCTCATTTCAGCAACTTTTGTTGCGGCATGGATGCCATATACAGTTGTGTCATTTTACGGTGCGTTTTATGGCCAAGGGAGTGTTGCCCCAGCATTAGGAACCATGCCAGCCCTTTTTGCCAAATGTGCCGGACTGTTGAACCCGATCATTTACGTTGCGACCAATAAACAATTTCGAACCGCCTTCTATCAACTGGTGCCTTGTCAAGGATTAAGGGAATCACTGGTCAAGGCAGAGGAAGCACCCGAGTCGGATGACGATGATGATGATGAGACCAAGAAAGAAACAGCCACCGAAACACAAACTAAAGCCGGTAGTAGTAGCAAGAACAAGGGAGGTAATACTGTAGCCCCAGCACCGTTGACTGATGTAGTAGAAAAGGAAGGAGAAACCCAGATCGAGGAGTTGGTCCACACCCCAACTAAACATACCGTGATCACCGTATCCTCGAAAGGTGAAAGTGTCGAGATGAAGGAAATGCCCATGGTGGATTGAGAAAGTCACGCGAGATTATGTGTTTATATATGCATGTGAATATCGGAACGCACGTGTTGTTGTGAAATGATATTTAACGTCAATGAGGTGGTACATTTATCACCAAAGACGACACCTCTATGATGAAATGATTTTATACTGGTATTAATATGTGTTATTTCATAATCCTATAGGGAAATCATTCCAAAAACGTCTAAAATAATCCAGTAGTTTTAATAAACATTATAAGTCACTATAAATGACGCTTGATAAATATTGTGTCACTGGTCACTGATTACAAACATTGGATTATATTTGGAAGTATGAAATTTCCTTATTGATATATATTGTCACGTGACGCGTAAAATGCACACAAGATGTAAACTAAACTGTGGTTTGCTCATTATTATTTGTTATTTGTTATTTTCTATTGATTAATGTATTATATTATAAATCAAATCGCCTCTACTAGTTTTACTTCATGTACAGAATTACCTCGACCAACCTGATTTACAGAAGGTGACCAACAAACCAGGTCACTTTATTTTTCGAGTTAACAAGTCGGATTTTCGAGTTACTAAGTCGGATTTGAAAAAAAAAAAATATGTGTGGCACTATTACGCTTCCGTAAAATCATTTGTAAAGACTGTTTCCTGCAATTCTTTGTAAAGATGGATAATTTTTCGGAGAACTTGACCAGCTGTATTGTTGTATTAAATGACAAAAGGTGTAATTTGGAAATCAACTTGGATGTTCATTCCTTAAAGATACATGGTTTGTAACTTGTTTATCCAATAATTTTCGCGGTTGAGTCGAATTTCCTAGACTAGATTTTGAATAAGTCATCTTCCATGTTATTCCAGTCGATGCGGTCAGAATACTATAAGTGCCAATAGGTCAAGAAATAAACCAAGTGCCAACGATCAGCACCGTAAAACGAAACAAACACGAAATCCAAACAAGATACTGGCGAAACATTGGTATCAATATAGGATAAGATTGATTTTTATATTTTATGCCTCATCGACTTTAATTAACAATACTATCATTAACGATACCAGCTTGATGCAGAAATCTTGAGCGTAAAATTCCATTCGATAAAGTATCTTTCAGATAACTACCTTTGAGAACATAATGACATCATCAATAATAATTATCACAGGCTAGGTAGAGAGTTATCCCACCTTTAACATCATCAATAATAACTATCACAGGCTAGGTAGAGAGTTATCCCATCTTTAACATCATCAATAATAACTATCACAGGCTAGGTAGAGAGTTATCCCATCTTTAACATCATCAATAATAACTATCACAGGCTAGGTAGAGAGTTATCCCATCTTTAACATCATCAATAATAACTATCACAGGCTAGGTAGAGAGTTATCCCATCTTTAACATCATCAATAATAACTATCACAGGCTAGGTAGAGAGTTATCCCATCTTTAACATCAACAATAATAATTATCACAGGCTAGGTAGAGAGTTATCCCATCTTTAACATCATCAATAATAACTATCACAGGCTAGGTACAGCGTTATCCCATCTTTAACATCATCAATAATAACTATCACAGGCTAGGTAGAGAGTTATCCCATCTTTAACATCATCAATAATAACTATCACAGGCTAGGTAGAGAGTTATCCCATCTTTAACATCAACAATAATAACTATCACAGGCTAGGTAGATAGTTATCCCATCTTTAACATCATCAATAATAACTATCACAGGCTAGGTAGAGAGTTATCCCATCTTTAACATCATCAATAATAACTATCACAGGCTAGGTAGAGAGTTATCCCACCTCTAACATCATCAATAATAACTATCACAGGCTAGGTAGAGAGTTATCTCATCTTCTACATCATCACTAATAACTATCACAGGCTAGGTAGAGAGTTATCCCATCTATAACATCATCCATAATAACTATCACAGG